AAATATGTATGTGCATTTGTTTCATGATCTCATTAACGATAGCCAAATGGGGGCCGCTTTAAGGCCGAAAATGCATTGAAATCGCACATTTTCACCATTCCGGACCCGTATCTCAGTTATGCATGGATGGATTTTGTTCAAATTTGGTACATACATTAAACATAATAGGACCTTGATGCACGTCTTTTTTTTTTCGGATCAAGTTCGAAATGGCCGACTGGCGGCCATTTTGTTAAAGAATTCAGTTCTGGATTCGTATCCAAGACATGTCTGGATTGATCAAGTTCAAACTTCACACACACATGGTACATCATGTCACAAATAGATATGTGCATTTGTTTCATGATCTGCTTAACAATAGCGGAATGATGGCCATTTTAAGGCCGAAAATGCATCAAAATCACGTATTTTCACAATTCCAGAACCGGATCTCAGTCATGCATGGATGGATTTTGTTCAGATTTAGCACAATGTGTTGTACATATGCAGGTGCATTTCGGTCATGATCTGCTTTGAATGTATATGTCACTCAAATATGAACGGAACGGGGACGTGTCATTGACAATGACTTGTTTTTCAAAGAATTGAATAATCCTATTGATAATACCATTTCACCGTATTGTCAACTTTTATCAACTTTAATAGTCTTGATTTTGATGTATTGAATAATTTCCTGGTTACCCTGGTGATTTATTAGATATATATTTAATAAAAATTTTAATTTAAATTGCTGACTGTAACTATTAAAAAGAATTTCTTACCAAAAAATATGTTTAACTATTATCACTTTCTATTTACTATGTTACTAGCAGTGTTAGTTGATGTATTATAAAAAAAACTTTGATGTTTTGCAGGTGAAATGGTATAAGAATGACCTTGCTATCATGCCCAGCTCTCATGTACAACTGTACATTGATGGAGACAAGAGAGGATTGGTTATCACAAATATTAGACCGTCAGATGCCGGTACATATAAAATATCACTCTGTAATGTGGCCGGTGCTGCCTGGTGCTCTGCGAGATTGATTTTAGAAGGTAAGAATGAAACATAAACATTAATGCATATACCTTGTTAATCTATGGTGTTCTCCTAGTCTGTAAGATTAATATGTACACCTTGTTAACCTATGGTGTTCTGCTGGGATGATTTTAAGAGAAAAAATTAATGTGTGCACCTTGTTAATCAGTGATGCTTGGCTGAACAAAAGTCAAATTATTGATATGAATCATAATACTGATTATTATGAGCCAATTACTATGATCTTCCGACTTTCTATTTATTTTGTACTGATTCACTAAATTTATTGTTCTATGTTTTAGCACCAAGAACAGCAGCCCATGCTCCTAAGGTCTCTAAAATGCTACATGATATCTACTGTAAAGAAGGTGAGAGAGTGAGATTTGATTGCCATGTGACTGGTTTCCCTAGACCAGCTGTTTCCTGGTACAGAGAAGGTGCACTTATTGAAGATTCTGGTGACTTCAAGGTATGGCAATTACTCTCAGTCACATTTCCACTGCTCAGACACCTGCTTAGTAATACTCAGTTCATAAAGCTACACACCATCCATAAATTATTTTTCTATTCCAAGAAATACAATACGATACAATACAATACAATACAATACAATACAATAATAAGTTTGGTTGACGTCAGTAAGGGCATACGGTCATAAAAGCCTTGCACCAACTCAGCCTCACGTGTGAGGTATTACCTATTAAAGGCAACGTTTACGTTTATTTAAATATGTATGTATGCGTCCTGGGCAAGATTATACACTACATCCGGTTGTGGAGTCTATGGATGTGGGAGAATGAGGTTACCCTTTGCTACAACTATCTCCAGGGCACCCTTGGGCAAGGTGTAGCACCTGTGAGCCTTGGGTGCCAACTTCCCACATAACAAGTTTGGTTGACGTCAGTAAAGGCATACGGTCGTAAAACTCCTGCACAAACAGATCCGCATAGGTGGAAAATTTTTCATGTAAATATGTATATATACGTTTCAGTTGTACTTAGCATTTGGCAGGGGGGATCGTAACCTCTTGTGGTGAGAACCAGTGTGACTGGCCTGCCAACGGGATGCTAAGGTTTTTATAGTAAAAGTTATCAGTTACATTCGTTAATGTAATTTCGTTTTACATACCCATAAATCAAAAATCACAATACAATACAATACAATACAAAAATTTATTATACACATGGACTATGGAAAAGAGACTTGAAAGTAGTTCTGTGTCATTTGAAACGAGTGCTATTCAGCTTTTACACTGTTTCCCAATCACTAGGATTCTTGAGGCAATGATGCTAATGTGCCAGATTTGCTACCCAACACCTGACAGTCTGGCCAATCAGAGACCAGCCAGTTTGTTGCCAGATTTTTTAGACCAAGTTTTACCTTGCGTGTGTGTTTTGACTCGTATATCAAATATTTCACCCTTTCTTGTGTAGATTGACGTTGAAGGTGACATGCACTCCCTTATCATACGTGAAGTTTTTCCAGAAGATGCTGGTAGCTTTTTGATGCGAGCTAGCAACCCTATAGGTGAGACCACCTGCAGAGCTCACTTATTTGTTGAAGGTAAGAATACATTTTCCCACTGTTATCTTTCATCTGGTGTCATTTAGTTCGCTGAATTTATATTCTTGGAAATTGAAAAAAAAAAAAAAAACTGAAAGCAGTATTGGTATCCTGAGATGTACTTGAATGTGTATTGGGTGAAGTGTTGAATACCAGGTTCATACAGATTTACCAGCAACAATTCAGTAAAATTAACTGAATTGAAACTCAATCATTACGAGTACTATATTTGCTTTATTAGAAGACCACATCAACCAACAAATTTTGACCATACATTGTAGATCCACCTTTGTGTATTTGATACTACCGGTATATACTACAAATATACAAAGGCGCTTCTTTCTTTTTTGTATTGTTCCAGTTTGTATGATACAATCTTTCTATGTTACAGGTGCCAAACCCCCAGCAACTGCCCCCCAGTTTTTAAAGAAATTTACGGACCTACGTGTCATGGAAGGTGGCGCTTGTAGATTTGAATGCAGAGTGATCGGTGAACCATATCCAAAAGTATCCTGGTTCATGGATAATGAACCAGTTGTTTCTGGTGACTACCAAATCATAACATCTGGTGACCACCATGCACTGATCATTGCGGAAGTGTTTGATGAAGAGCGGGAAGATTCACGTGTCGTGCTGTTAACGCTGCTGGCGAGGCTTTCTGTGCTGCAACATTATTTGTTGAGCGTAAGTATCTTTTCCTTATTTGTCGTTTTTTCATGACTATCTGTAGTGTCTGATGTCATTTAGAGAATGAGTTTTGGTATCTGTGTTTGGAGATGACTGTTTGTCTGTTTCGGGAATGGGTCTGTATTTGAATGGTATTTAACTTTGAATTATCTTATCAGGTCATTATCATCAATAT